CCGCTATCGGACATGCTTTTTTCATCCTCGCCATCAACCCACTTCAACATATGCTTAGCATGGCTATTGATCCGGGAGTTCTCAAGCCCATCCAGGATCGAATGACCAGACTGAGAACTTCCCTCCCCGCATACGACACAGGAAATTTTGCCAACCCAAGCAAGGAGGTGCTATCGGCCACCTGCCACATGTTGGATGTCTTCGCCGATGCCACATGCTTAAGAATGAACCTCATCAAGACCAAAGTCTTTCCCAATCGTTGTGAACACATTGACCATGCTGACACCCTCTTCGTTTTCCAGGCTAAATTGGTTGCCTTCCCCGACAAATACCTCAATCTTTCCCTACACATCCGGCACCACCGGAAGGTGGATTTTCAACCGCTCATCGACAAGTTCGGTGCTCGCATTCCTGGTTAGAGGGGCAAAAAACCTAACACGGGTTGCTCGGATCTATCTGGCAAAGTCTATCCTCACTATTATACCACCTAGCGGTCACCCCGCTCCCCGGATGGAAGCTCAAGAGGATGGACAAGTTGGCCAGGATTTTTTTTGGAATGACGCTGACAGTGAGGATGCCAACAGTTGTCTCTCCCTGGTCCATTGGAAGATGGCGTGTGCCCCTGAATACTTTAGTGGTCTTGGGGTGGCTGATCTGGATTGTTTTAGTCGAGCCTTGCGCCTGAGGTGTCCGAGCTATGTGTGGATTGTCCCGACCGACCATGGGTAGGCGCTAAGCTGCCCTGTAGCAACTCTGACATGGCACTCTTTAGAGCCTCACCTATTAATTATCACCATCAGCGATGGGAAAAGTACCAAATTTTGGTACGGTAAATGGATATGGGATTCTTCCTGTGCAACCGAGCTCTTGAGCTATACAAGATTGCAACAAGGAAAAATATGACACTCTTTTATGACATTGAGGGGATAGATGGATTAGTGTCATTGCCTTTTTGAGCATTGTGGACTAGCTTCACGAATTTTTCAACATTTGGCAGCTTTTGTAGGCCTCGACATTGACCCCTCTCGTTCGGATCATGCATTGTAATTGGATGAGCTTTGGGGAATACTCCATCAAATCTGCCTACTTGATGCATTCCTCTTGTCGTTTGGTACCTGTTTTCACTCCTAAGGTTTGGAAAGCTCAAGCCACCCCAAATGCAAACTCTTTGCCTGGCTTGTTCTACATGGGAGAATCCTCATGACGAAGAATTTGGCAATTCGTGGATGACCCCATAATCTTACAATTCACCTTTGCCTTGCATCCAATGAGACAGTCGTGCATATATTGGCCATTCTTGTACGATGTTTGGATGACTGTCAATGCCGCTGATGAAGGGATGCCTAACCCAAGCTCGCCAGATGCTAAAATTTCCATCAACTTGTGGTGGGAGGGTATCCTTGACAACGCCTTGGGAAGGAGTGTGGCAGTGCGTAGTGGTATCATGATATATTCACTTTGAAATATTTGGAAGGCGAGGAACTGCCATGTTTTCAGCAACAAGAAGATGACCTACCGTGAAGTGGATGACCTAACTTTGTTGGATAATTGCTTGCACATATTGTTGACTATTGAACAATTTTCCATTAACTTTAATCCATATAGAGTAGACAAAACATGATGATCATAATAGAGATGGTACTCGAATCATTAACATATAGTGTTAAACTTGATGTGAGAAAAAAAGAGTTGGTTGGTGCAACTACCTTAATATTTGTAAGAAAAATGTAGAAGTGCATTCTTAAATGAAATTCGTCATATGTAAGGCAACTAGTTTTGTGCTTTGTTTACAAGTTCTTTTGTTTGTGTTTGTCATTGGTGCTCAAACTATACTTGATGAGTTACTGCATGAGACTTTCTAAAATAAAAAGATTCACGGGATAATTTAAATTATATAAAAGAGAATAAGAAGGGTGGAGCACCAGAGCCTAAAGCCTCGGATTCATCTATTATTATTTTTATTCTTTGCCGCTTTTAGACTTGCATTTTTATTTTGGGGACTGTTTTGGACCTACATTGGTCAGACTAAAACCTTCAAAATTAATGCCCAAGTTAACCTCTGCACAATACACTTTAATGAATGATGGAGTTG